GACGTGACGCAGAAGCATAAACTAGGCTTTACTCACTTCTCCAGTTTCTCTGAAACCTCCGTGACTCCACCGTCCTGGTGACAAACCTCCATCCCGAACATGTGACTCTCTCCCCGGACACAAACACACGCAGGAGCCGCTGGAGACGTTTGTGTTGGTGTGTTTGAACCCGCTGCTCGTCCCCCGCCAATTCTCTACAGCCTATCACAGAGGACGCTGGAGTGACGCTGTGACGACGTTGTCCAATCGGAGATACAGATGAGGGCAATAGGCGGGACCGGTAGCGACGAACAGCCAATGAGAAGCGTCGGTTTGGGAAACAGGAAACTGTGCTTCGATTGGAAATGGTGCGTTTAATGTCACCTTTTTTTTAGGGAATTTCCAAAATGTTCGTTTTAAAATTTTCCAGAATCTTCTGAGATTTACTGAAAAACCTAAGAATCGAAAAGATTATAGGTTTAAAAGTGATTTAAAAAACAACACGTGATTCTACTGAAATAAATAAACAAGCAACATCAGTAAAACTCAAAGGAACATCATTATAATGCAGCATCAGGCTGGATTTTTATGAATCAGATGTTTCTCTCAGATGTTTCTCTCCGATATGTATTATGAATTGTTCTCTGTCCTGCAGAGAAGAAATATCTGGTTTCTTGTTTTTTGAGTAGTTACAATTTGTGCACGATAGTTTTGTGGTTATTTAGAATGAGCCAATAAAGAAACACACATTAATAGAAAATCCCCAGGTTGTAAAAACAGAGAAATGTTGATCAGCTGATCAGTGTTGATAAAGAGACAGGAAACAGGAAGCAGCTTCATCCTCGACTTCTATTCACCCGATCACTCTGCATAAAGAAGGAGGCTGTGACTTCGCAGAGGCTTTTATTGTGAAAAGTCATCTTTAAGGCTCAGGTACAGAGAGAAAAACGTTTTTTTCCATAAAATGATAAATCAAAGACTTAAGGACTCGAAGTGAAGTTCTGCTTCAGTTTCTCCATTTTTAGTTAATGACATAAATTAAAAGTTACATGAACACAGAGTAAAATGTCAAAGAACGTGTTTTAAAATGTTAACAGAGTTTCAGATAAGAAGATATAAGCTGTGGACACACTGTCGAGGTGTTTCATATTCTTGATCAATCAGAATAACGGTGTCGCCTCCACAGCTTTGACTTGAGCTGCAAAAAGCACAACTCTCTTCTTCACCTCAGCGCTGAGCTTGTCCTGTGAAGCTCCAGGGTTCTGACGGACGAACTCTGAGATGCTGAGGATACACTCTCTCTGAGGACACAAACACACAGAATGAGCCCCACAAAGTGTGGACACACTACAGTGCAGCTGTCACTGTGATGAAACACATCAGCACCTTGTAAGCGTCCACTTTGTCCTGACCGGTGATCCGGTTCAGCAGCTCTCTGCCGACCTGGACTCCGGTCACTGCGGCCAGAATCCTCCGGTCCTCCACGGTGTCAGAGGTCAGCCAGCGCAGCAGCGCCATCTGCAGGAGAGAACAGGACATTTAACATGTTGAGCATCTTACAAACTTCACAGTGGAGTTTGTTCTCAGGTTTGATTTTAAATGACAAACCCATCAAAGATGTGAATAAACATTTTACACTTTAGGTCTCAGCACAAGTTCAAACTGTGACACGACAACAGTCTGTGTTTCTGCACATGAAGAAGAAATCTCTGCGACATTAAACATGCTACAGACACACGTGTTCAGAAACCTCCTTTATACAGTCACAGCAACAATAAAGACAATAACTCCAATGATGTTGTTTCAGCCTGTTTCAGCTTTTCTGCTTCTTCTTGTTCGAGCCTTAATTTAAAAGTAAAAACCTTTTCTCTGGTTTTATATCATCAATGTTTTCAGATTGTTGTTATATTATTAACTGTTTTTTCTTTGTCTAGAAATATTAGACAACAACTAATTGAATAAAGATAAAAATGGTATAAAAGTCTGTTTGTATTTTAAGACATTTATTCCATCAGCAGAAATTAAATTCATCTTCATTCATGACACAGAAAAACGATGAAGATTCATTTCCTGCTGATAATCGATGAATGAATCGTTGGCAGAAGTTTTAGTTTCAGAACAGAGTGAAGGAGATTCTTCAATTCCAGCTTTAAATGATTTGACTCTATCTCTCGTGTCATCGTTCTTACCTGCTGAAGTAACTGAGCGTTCGTCATTTCTGGACCGGACATGACTGAAAAACACGCGAAGTAACGAATCAAACCAGGAAAACCAGGAAAGTCTGAACTCTGCGGGAGATGAAGAACAAACTGCAGCTGAAGATTTGATCTTCGACCTGAAGCTAAAACCTGCGACTCTCACTTCCTGTTTACGACTCTTCTTCTTCTTCTGCCCCGAGACTCTGCTGCTGCTGCGGCTGCCCCCAGCGGTCACAGCAGGAACAACCACGTGTTTTTTAATGTTTGACATAAAGAAATATTGAATAAATTGACAAACCTTTTACATTGTCTATATGTTGTGATTGTTTTCCAGCGAACGTGTATTTCTTGGTTGTGTAATTTTGTTCATGAAAAAAACAACATAATATTTAAACTCCTAATTTGCAAAGTAACTAAATCTGTTGGTAAGAAACATTTTATTTCCTTGAGACGTGGTAGAACATACATCTCATACAGTCGCCTCATGAATCCACATTTAAATTCACGAGACAGACACAGACGTGAACAGAGCCTCCTTGGTTGAGGTAAAGGTACTCAGGCAGTTTTTTAGTACATGTACCTCAGATAAGTAGGTAATACTGAGTAATACTTGAGTTACTTGAGTAAATAAAGATTCAATTTGTTTTTATTTTTTATCACTTTCTTATTTACAACATTGACCCCCTGACCCAGCCCCCCCCACACGGAGTCACTTAATGTTTCCAAGTTCTACATTTATCACATCGACTGTCCTTCACACTGAGCTCTCGAGTTCCTGCTGTACTTGAACGCAGCGTGTTAGTGAGGTATCTGTTGGTGTCTGAGGTCACATGACGTGGTCGCAGGTTGGAGGTCAGAGGTCAGCTTTGGTCGTGGGGTTTGGAGAAGGAGCCCAGCTGTTTGGTGTTGACATCCTTCAGCTGCTCCAGCTGCCTTTGTCCTCGTCGGTACAGATACTCGATGTGCATCACATCCGTCTTCTTGATGCAGGCGTTCTCCCTGAACTCGTCTCGGATACGTGGGACGAAGCCCGGTTTGTCCCGCCCGGCCCTGAGGAAGTGACGGTACAGAGCCAGGACCTGCTTCTGCAGTTTACTGTGACGTGCCATCGTTGAGTTGAGAGGAACACCAGCAGCTGCAGTTCCTCTGATGACCACTAGTTCAAGTCTGACTGAAGGGACGAGGCTGTCGGCGACCACTGAGCGCCACCTGGAGTCAGGTGAGAGATGAGAGACCCTGAACACAGCACGACCCTCAGAGCTGGAGGAGCTCTGATTGGCTGAGAACTTGATCAGAGGCGTTCAGGTGTTGATGAAAAAAAAAACAGTTTGAATACTTTAACATCAGTGAAGCAGCAGGAAGTGAAGTTGAGGACGTCAGGAAATCGTTGTTTGATCAGTTCTGTCAGAATGTGATGATTTTAAACACTGCAGAAAAAAGAATGAAGCAAATGTGAACGTGAGAATCTGAAGTTTTACGTAACATTCAGTTTGTTAATTAACGTAACAAAAACATTTCTTATTTCTACGATGGATCAATCAAGTGATTTAATAATTGTCTGATTAATTAACGATTCAACACTAATGACGAGAACTGAAACAATCATTTGATTGATGATTATAATGATAAGAGCTGATAAAAGAAGAGAGAGACTTAAAGGTTCAGTGTGTAGAATTTAGTGACATCTAGTGGTGAAGTGTCATGTTGCAGCTGAACACCCCTTCCCCTCTCCTTCCAAACATGAAGAAGAACCTGTGGCAGCTTCAGTCGTCATAAAAACTCAAAAGATTTTAGTTTGTCCAGTCTGGACTCATGTAAACAACATGGCGGCCTCCGTAGAGAGGGTCCCCTCCATGTAAATATAAAGTATTTCAATATAAAGTATTTCAATATAAAGTATTTAAATATAAAGGATTTCAATATAAAGGATTTAAATATGAAGTATTTAAATATAAAGGGTCTTTTCTGGGGTAAAGAAAACTACAATTCATATAATTTAGATGAACTAGTGAAAACATCCTAATTATTCTACATTAGATTTCTGAATAGATCCTCTCACCTGAATCTGGAGCTTTAGTTACAGATGATGAGTTTGAAGTTTAGAATCTTGTTTAATTCAAACATCACAAATCTTCAGTCCAGCTTCACTCACCTGTTTGACCGGAAGAGCCGACGATTCACGGTTCAACGGTTTTTTTACGGTTCATCTGATCGTTGATCATCGTTGAAAATCACCGGAACCAGAAAGTGCCTGTAAAGACCAGGGTTAGCTCCTGTTAGCTCCTGTTAGCTCCTGCTAGCTCCTGTTAGCATCATCAGTGTGACCTTACTCCACGTTACAACACCACGGAGCTACAGGACTACAGAACACGTGACTTCCGACACGACGTTTCACAATAAAATACAAGTAGGAGAGGCCGACAGTAAATCACAGACTGTTTATAAAGAATTCAGATCCACGTGAAGGGAAAGTACAGAAAAATAAAAATACTCAATTACAAGGGCCAGTTCTGCAGGAAGGAATTAATTCCGGAAACATAAAGAGTAAAAGCAGATAATTAATGTAAATGAATTAGGGTTAGTATTGTATTTTGTGCTGGGAGCAGATAAACTACTGAACATAATACAGAATAAAAGTTAATCTTTTTTTTTACTTTAACTTACTTACACTTTATTGATACTTATTTAATGTTTTCTTCAGTGAATAAACCTCGATATAATTTAACTACCAGCACAAAATACAATAATGTATAGTCATCGACGCTCTTGTCTTGAAAGTCATGAAGCGGATGTGAGAGTCAACTTCCTGTTTAGATGACGGAGTTGGATGGGAAAGCGGAAGCAGCTGCAGCACAATCAGCTGATGAGCGGAAACCAACTTTGTTGTAGACGTCACGAAGGTTCGAATTGTTATTCACGTCATGTTTTCATCACGTGTTTGATTTAAGTCGTTTCCGGTTGAGACGTTTTTTGGAAAACGGTTTTTTTTCATTTCCTGCTGACGTCACTCACTTCAGCTCATTAACTTGTGATCCGCTCTGACCGGAAGTGATACGGTGCACTTACAGAAATAAAATAGGGTAGTGACATCACTGGCCCAGGTTCTGACTCCAGTCCTGATCCTGGTTCTGACCTCGGTTCAGTTTGTGGTTCTGACTCTGGTGGACTTCCTGTGTGTGTGTAGAAATGGAGGTGACAGAGGAGGGGCGTCGGCAGGTGGAGGAGCAGGTGGAGCAGCTGTTGGCCGGTCAGGGGTCAGAGGTCAGCTGCTGTGACGTTGGTCTGGACCAGAGCAAACCTGCGACTCTGAGGAAGAACGTCACCTACATCGTCTGTGGCGTCATCTTCAACGACAAGGTGAGCAACGCCCCGCCCCCCAACACGTCTGTACACACACTCTGAGTTCACTGTGTGTGTGTGTGTGTGTGTGTGTGTGTGTGTGTGTCTCCATCAGTGTGAGGTGCTGATGGTGCAGGAGGCGAAGCAGGACTGTTACAAACTGTGGTACCTTCCTGCAGGGAGGGTGGAGGTGGGGGAGAGCCTGGAGGAGGCACTGAGGAGGGAGGTGTGACAACACACACACATATACACACACACACACACACACATATATATACACACACACACACACACACACACACACATCTGTGTTGAAGCTGTTTGTCTGCAGGTGAAGGAGGAGGCGGGGTTTGATTGTGAGCCAATCACGTTGCTGCTGATCCAGGAGCAGGGACCTCAGTGGATCCGCTTCATCTTCCTCGCCAGAGTCACAGGTCAGAGGTCACATGTTCACACACAGACACACACTCGACATTACGACAGAAATCAACACGATTGTTAAAAGATAGATTCTGAGTCAATGACGTCACGGACCAGTCGACTCCAGGAGAATAGAAACATGGCGGCAGATGAAAACATCATCACATGTGGACAATGGGAAGACGGCGTTCAGAGCTGTGACTCTTCTTCTGCAGTGGTGTAACAGCACCTGACTGGAGAAACAGCGCCACCTACTTTGTTTCCATGAACCAGTTCCTCACATTCACAGAACATCAGAAAATTCTCATTTTTTTCTGATGTTCTGAAAATTCAGTTAAAAATGTTTGATTTGGACGAAACTCATTGAAACATCAGTTTTGTTTTGTTGGTTGGAAGAAAACAAAACGTTTGAATGCGTCACTTTTTCATTTCTGAACTATTTTATATTAACGTCAGTTCATCTCAGAGACAATGAAAATGTTCTCCGTGTGTCAGGTGGAAACATCAAGAGTCTGTCAGCAGCAGATCAGGAGTCTCTTCAGGCGTTCTGGTGGGACAGACAGTCCGTCCTGCCTCTGAGAGGACGAGACATCCTCCGTCTCATCGACTGCGGACTGAAGTACGACCACGTTAAAGCTGCCTTCTTTGTGCTGCGTTGAGTCGTAGTCGTGGACACAGGCTGACCCGGGCTGCTGTGCTGCTTTCAGGTACCATCAGGATCCCTGGCATCCGGTCACGTTACCTGTGGACCTGAGCTGCCGTCACGTGCTGCAGAGACTCGTCCTCGTCTTCACCAACTCTGACGAGCAGATCTGGATCCTTCTCATTAAAGGTACCAAACTCTTCTGACTCTTCATTGTCTGATAAAAACCTGTTTCACTGACCCGCTGCTGAAAAGACAAGTTCTGAGTCAGTGTCAGCTGTCAATCAGGACGTCTCCGCCTGCTTTTATATCATAAATAACTGATTCAAAACAAACTGATGAGAAACACATGAACAAACATCAGAGAGAAGAACGAGCTGACGTTCGACAGAAACATCTTCGACGAAACATTTATTTTAACGTCTAATTAGATTTTTAGTTTGGTTCATGTCCGATCTGCTAACATGGAGGAGGTTTATGAGTTATACTGCAGCCAGACACCAGGTGGAGATGGAGGGATCATTTCAGATTTTTAATCATAATTAACATCTAACAAGTTTCTTTCATGTAATTTCTCCAGGTGGAACCAAACATTTGATCATTTTACTTCATATTAAATGTGAAAGATATCGACATTAGAAATGATCCGTATTAATACCAGGATTGATTTTAAACATGTGTTCAGCTCTTTTCACTTCTTCAGAAGAGAGTTTTCATTTTGACAAATATTTAAATTCAGCTCCCCTCCCCCCACCTGTCTGCCCCGCAGCTCCAGGGCTCCACCTCCCGACAGCAGCGGCGGTGAAGACCCATGCGGTGACCTGGGCGGCCAACATGGTGGTGCAGGAGGCCATGCCGTCTGCGTACTATGACCACGACGTCAACACGCTGGGCGTCTTCAGCCTGCAGCACAATGGCCGGCAGCATGGAAAGACGGATGGGGTTTGCCTCAACACGCTGGTGGCACTGGTGCCCGACCGCGTCCAACGCAACGAGGACGGAGAGAAGGTGGAGTATACGCCCACGGGGCAACCTCCACCTGTAGAAAACCCTCGATACGTGTGGTTGGAAGTCCGGAAACCAACACTGAGAGAGAAACTGCTGGAAAAGACCAAAAACACCTCCATCCTACCTCTGCACAGCCTGTACTGACCACAGGGGGCAGCAGTGCTAAGTCTTCCCTTTGTGATTTAACAAGAAGACTCTTATTGTGAAAAGAACACTCTTACTGTTGGCCTTCAGAAAGCTTTTGTTCTGAAAGAAAACAATGTCTAATTTTATCGAGTAATTCAGCTGCAACATGACCCTTCACCACTAGAGGTCACTATATTCTACACACTGAGCCTTTAAACGTGAATAAGGTAATAATTCAAATTCAAACGTTATGAAACGACGAAAAACCTGAGAAGTTGATGGATCTCCATTCACCAGATCACCACGGCGACGTGATGCTCAGAAACAGGACGATGTCGTACAGCTGGGATCCAGGTTTCAAGTTGTATAAACAGGAAACGTGATGAATCAATATGAACTCACTGCTTCGTCATCCGTCCGCAACTGAAGAGACGACGACGGAAATCTGGAGGAACTTTCAAGACAAAACGAATGAGCTCATTAGCTTCTGTTGGATAACCGCTAACGTTAGCATTCCACCACTTCTTAGCATCATTAAGTTACACAATGGGAAAGACTTTTAAACTCTGAATATCTACAAACATCTTGGACACGTTTATTAAAACCTGAAAATAAAGTTTACTACAATCAAGCTAGCTAAATGCTAACTCCAATGCTAAAGTGTTTGATACAAACTGTTGATGTAAACTGTGCGAACGTTCCAGTGAAATAACGTCACTTAACAAAAACAAGTGAGAAGTCACGACAGCGTTAGTCACGTTAATGCTGCTAACCTGATTATGTCCCGTCCGTTGGACCTCAGTGTGTCCACAGTGGAGGACAAATGATATTTCTGACCTTAAAGTTTAAAAACAAACATGAAGCTGATCAAGGAACTCATTTGCCAAAAAAGAAACTTTATTCGTCTTTAAACTGGAGGACAGAGACAATCATGTTCCCGTGCGTTGGCTCATGTCTGCTCCGCCTCCTCCGTCTTCACCTTCTTCACGTAGCTGTCGTTGAGGAGCTTCAGGTTTTTGTTTCGGTTTTCCAGACGGACGAGCCACTCGCCCCTCAGCCTGAAACACAGGAAGTTATAAACGGAAACTTTTGATATATGATCGTCACAGAAATAACAGATTTAATTTGAAATGAAACAGAGTGAAATGTTGAAACATGAAATAATAATGTGAAGAACAAACGAGGAGAAAACGTAGATAAGCAACAGAGGCTCCACCTTCCAGTCCCAACATATCCCATGATTCATTGCGTTTCTAAGGTAGAATTTATTTCTCAATGTTTGTACTGAACCGACCAATTAGCAAAGACGTTTTTCATCTGTAGCTCTGTTGCTAGGCGACGACTGTAAAGGGATGATGCAATAAGAAAACGGGACCGTCACATTTCATGAGCAGCCGATGAAGGATGTAAACAAAGATGGCAACAGGACATCTCCACATAAGTGAAGCCAAATCATCTGGATCGCCCCCTGGTGGCACAAACAGAGGAAGCGGTGACACGTCATGAATCTTTATACAGTCGCTGATCATCTTTGTATATAGTTGCTGATCTCTATTATTTGTATAAATATACACACACACACACATATAGATATCATATATTCATATATAGTCTGGAACAAAAACGTTTGTGTTAAATCTGCTTCATCCATCTGATTAACGGCTGCAACAGGTGAAACTTCCACAGATGACATCACGTCTAGTTTCCTGTCGGCTCCGTGTGAACATGTCAGTGTCATGTGACCTCTGTGGCTTTTTATATTGAACGTAAACGTGTTGAAGTCTTAAATGGTCAAATATCTGCGGTCGCAGCTTCTGATCCTCTGGGATTAATGAACGTATAATATCTCAACCCGTCATCTGAAGGTGACCGTCGTGTAGTCGCTGGCACCCTGTGTGTGTGTGTGTGTGTGTGTGTGTGTGTGTGTGTGTGTG